GATGCAACTGATGCTGCTTTAGAAAGTATCAACACGGTTTCTCAAAGGCTCTTCCAGCCCTATCTTGATCCTTTTCTCAATCCACCTCTTTGCTTCATGAGATTTCAGATATTTCCCTCATCACCCCTTACCCAGCTTTGCATTCATCCCTTTCCCTTCCGACCTCACCCTCCTACCATTGCATCGCTTTCTGTCATTACCACCAAGCTGTTTTCTTTGTGACTCTTCCCTCACCACCAGATGAGGGGGGCCACGGGCTCCCCACAGCAGCTCCAAGAACTCTGAATATGTTTCCCAGCTCGGCCCCTTGGACAAGCAGCAGCCCGCACCACTTTGCTGCTCCTGCTGGACTCCCAGCCCAAGGGAAGAGCTGGCTCCCAGGATAAGACTGAAACCTGTTAGACCTCCAGGCAAACACCCTCCCTATCCATAATCCCGACTTCTTTAACTCCTGTTCAGGCGGCAGAAACACAGCGACGCTTTTGCAGACAAGATCCCCTTTCCACCGACCACCACCCAAGCACAGGGCAAGACTCTCCCACAGTTATTAGGAAAAACACCCAGAAAAGGGTCATTCCCAAACGTGGTGCGGATCTGATCCTCCCCACGAGCACGCCGGGAGCTCAGGACCTTGCTCTCCCTTGGGCAGGGCCCTGGGGCGTGCGGCAACGCGTCCGAGTGCAACGTGTCAGAGGGGAGGCAGCAGCCACTGCGTGACAACAGCCATCGCGCTGATCCTCCAGGGAGGCAGCAGGTGGCCCCCGGTCTGGGCAGTGCCACCACCGTGTCCCCTTCTCCCAAGGGACGCACCACGGGACGGGCTCTGCCGAGAGGTACAGGTGGCCGTGATCAGTGGTGTGGGGAAACCAGGAGGCGCCTGGCCCAGCCATCACAGCCTTGGCGCGCACCTGTGTGTGCAGGGACACTCAGCACGCACCTGTGCTGCAGAGCAGGGACAAATAACCAAGACGAGGAGGACACAGCGAGGGTGTCACCGGGCGGCGGGTGACAAGCAGGGAGCGCAGCCCCGCGGCGAGGGGCCCCACGGGCGGGGGAGGCCGCGCGGGAGGGCGCGTGCAGGGACACTCAGCACGCACCTGTGCTGCAGAGCAGGGACAAATAACCAAGACGAGGAGGACACAGCGAGGGTGTCACCGGGCAGCGGGTGACAAGCAGGGAGCAGCGCCCCCAGCGCGACATGGCGGCTCTCACCTGGGTCTTGGTGGTGAGCTGGATCACCGCCTTCCTGAAGTTGAGCTTGGAGTCGGCGCTGCCCATGGCTGCGGCCCGGCGGCCGCGGCGGCAGGGCCCTTCCTCAGCCTCCCCTCCTTTTTACAACCCATCCCTTTGCCCCTTCCTTCAGTCTCCCCCATCGCCCCTTTCCCGCTTCCATTAGGGTCCACGCACACTCTGCTTCCCCTCCCGGTTCCTTCTGCTGCTGGCAGCCATGGCAGAGCACCAAGGGCTTTCTCCCCTTTGCCCTCTCCCACCAGCCCTGTTCTTCCCCCTTTTCCCCTCGTTTCCCCTCAGCTCTTGTCTCCTAACCCCTCACCCCCCTCCCTTAGCTGTGCTGAGACACAAGTCCCCTATGGTGCCACGTCAGCACCACTTGGCCTCAGCCAGGAGCATCCATCAGGATGCAGGAGAGCAGGTCCAGCTCCACCTCAGCCTGGTGCTCGTCTCAGAGGGGCCATGGCCTGGTCAAGTTGTAATAAACACCCTCCACGAGTGCCCTGTAACCAGCTTGGGGCACGTGGTAGCCCATTAACCCTAATGAAATTCCAACCACCCCAGAGGAGAGCATCTTTTATAACCCCAGGGACTGGGCTTCAGTGTTTAGCCCACGCTGAGCACCTCAAAGCAGATGCTGGTTGTCGCCTTTAGGGCTGTTGTCTCCCTTGTCAGCACTGAGCAGCTCATGAGCTGCACATGGGTCTCTCCAACGTCACTGAATTGCATTTCACACACTCGGCTTTTCCAACACCTCTCCCAGCTGTATTTCTTTGGTGGAAATGAGGTAATTCCAATCATTTTGCCCCCAAAATACATGTGTTAGCTCCCCCATGGGGCAGATGGTGGGGATCCTCATTTGCTGGCATACAAAAATTACCTGTGCTTGATTAGCTCAAGACGACGGGCCAGATCTGAGATATTCTTGCAAAATCTCCAGGAATTGTTATTTTTGCAGAGTCCCAGCCAACTTTTGCAGCCAAACACCTAGGACTTTGTTCCTGGGACTTCACTCATTTGCTGTGGCTGTGCTGCACAGATGAATGATGACAACTTGTAGCTAAGAACAGAATACTGTTCACTATATATATATTTCAGTTAGGATTTCCGCATTTCTACATTAAAAATACTCAGAAAAAAAAAGACCTGGGAGCCATGTAGACATGGCTTTCTCCCAACATGCTATGCCTGCTTCATTAACTCTGCTGAGTTACAAATGCTGGCTTAAAAGAGACTCCTTGAGGCTGCTCTGCAGTTCCATTAAGGCAGGATACTCTCAAGGCAGTCGCTGAATTGGAGGGAAATACATGGATAAGGACAGGGAGGTCCATGAGGAGACGAGGACAATCACCCTAAATCCCTCTGCTCTTGCGTAAACATCTATTGCCTTTTCTGTAGGCACCAATACAGAGCGGCGGAATCAAATATAGATCTAGGGAGCTTCAGTACCCAGCAGGCAAAAAAAAATTCTCAATCCGCCTTCACATGGGTTACTTTGTGCCATAGAGTCCCTCCCAGACCTCAGGGTGAACAAGGACAAATACACACACCAAATTCCACAGTAGCAAACAAGAGCAAATCCACTTTCACTAATCCTTATTGCACTGGACTGACGAACAAAATCCCAAGCCTTTTCCCGAACCTGCCTGTCTATAACAGACACAACTCCTCCAATTCCTCCTCCAGACCCTACAGATCTCTTTCCCCTCAGTTCTAGATTCCTTCCATCCTTCTGAAAAAAATAAAAATAAAAATAAATAAAAATAAAGCAATGACAAGAAAACAAGATCTTGTGATGAAACCTGAGAGAAAAGCTTGTGTCATAAACAGTGATTTCTTATTAGGGTGCAAATGCAGAGGCCAAGGAAGAGCTCAAGAATAGGTAACACTAAGGTGATGCTGTGGGTGGTTTATATGGGGCTCCCCTTTTACATGCATCCCTAGAGACCCCTAGGTTGAAAAAACCTTGATTTGAGGAGCAACACACCCAAGGAGGCCAAGGCAGGGAAGCGACAGCCTCCCTGCTGAAGGCTCCCAAGAAAAGGAGGCTGCTGGTTGCCCAAAGTCACCAAGGGGGCCACCCCCTGCACCCCAAAAGGTGCCTGTACCAGCCCCCTGCCCAGCTGCCTTCCCGGTGGGGGGGCACAACGGATTGTAACGGGGACGGGCTGCAAAGCAGCCCCGCTTCTCCCCGCAGCCCCCAGGCAGCCCAAACCAGCAGCAGCCGCCGGGGGAGCAGGCACCCCCTGCCCCACCCGCAGGGAGGGG